CATGTAGTGGTAAGAACACTGCACTTGAGAGGCAGGGAGCCTGGGTTTAATTTCCAATCATATTTTTCTGAGACACCGGTTGGAGCACAGGCCTGGATTGATTCTAGCTAGAAGTGTGTGCCACGGGCCTCCCTGGACAGGCATGTTCGGACTTATCTCCACCCTCAATTCTGAAATCCTGGACAGAATTTGAGTTTCAAATTGTGCGGCATACATTTTAAGGACTTTTACCAATTGATGAACCATCATCCTATTTTGCTTTTCTTTCAAATCAATAAGAATTCAATAAGAATTTGTGAAGCAAAGATTCAATTTAGATGTCAGCTTTAGGCTTTGGACCCTGAGTCTACATTCAACTTTCAGTCATCTAAGTTAACAAGGCAGTATAATAAAAAGCAACTCGCAGAGGATCCCAAGGCCTCATTTTATCCACCACTTCTCAATGTCCTTCCTGGGATTCCCTCTGAAGGCAGCGTGAGAGCAAAAGGGGAAAGGCCCAGCTGTGCACAGCGGCCCTGCCCATGAGGACTATCAGCTCAGAGAAGTCACTGTGCATCTCCCGGCCTTACATCCCTCCTCAGGACAGCAATCCTACTTCAATTAGATATTACAGATGGAAGAACACACCATCCTTCTAGCAAACAGGAGTTACACCTTCCTTTTTCTTACCTAAGAATGGAGTTGAACTGTCAAGAATCTGAATTTAGAAATTCCCTATTCCACCTGCTTTCAGAAGGTAATTTGGAAAAAAGAATTGCTAAAATATTTTAGTGTTGATTTTGCTTTCTTTTACAATAATAATAAAATTATTTTTATAAGCAGCTACTCTTCTTGGGCATGTCCGCTTGCACAAAGCTAGGCCTTTCCTTTGCATGGATTCCATCGATACTCATGTTAACCCTCAAGGTAACTACTGTCTGACAGATGAGGAAACTGAGGCTTAGTGAGGTTAAATAGCAAGTTTCAAACCAGGAAATGAAAGAGTCAGAATTCAAACCCAGAGCTGGGTGTTCTAACACCTATCGGCAGATGGAGAACATGTAGCTGCTCTAGAACTCCCTCCCCTCTCCTCCCCTCCTCTCTGCCTTTTCCTCTCACGCCTGGTCACTGCAGACACAGCTACATACTGCCTTGGGCCCTGGGTCGTGCTGCCTGCCAGAGAGGGGTCTCAGAGAGGCCCGTGTCCAACACAGCTTCATGGGTGTCCAGTGCTGGACTAACATCTCCCCAGTGCCCGTGTCTGTCTATCATGAGGGCATCACAGAAAGGAGGGAGCTGCACATCCCTGGGTGCGCTGGGCACATACTCTCAGTATGATAGAAAGAAAGCAGAAAATCTAAACTACAAAGACTGCAGCCTGCATGGACGGTAGGAAGTTACACAGAGCAAAGGCCAGCACATTGTGGCACCAGTTTGCTACTCCAGCCCCACATCCAGCCAATATCTGTACAGAATCAGGCAGTATCTTCACAGACAGCTTAAGGGCCATGAACACGTCCCTGAAGGGAAGACTCAAGGAAGCAGTAGCCAGAGGCCTAACTCAGCCACTTACATGTGTGCTTAATAGCACCATGACAACAATTTCCTATTTAAAATGAAAGAGAAGAGAATATTTTCAATTGAAGGTAACTTCCAAATATTGTAAGGAACAGGGTAGGAGATTAGTTACCCTTCCGCTTCCCTATCCAAAATAATGGTATCAAGCTCTGCACACACCTCTGCCTTCTAAAAGTAACTACCGTCCCCTCATATTAAACACTATGCTCTTTGCAGAGCGGCAAAGATGTTTCTAAATAAGGACTCTCTCTCCATCTGAGAGGCTTAGGAGGAGGTGTGTGACAACCTTCGGTCTACCATGTTTCCCCCCAAATAAGACATACCCCAAAAATAAGCCCTAGCAGGATTTCTATGCATTTATTAAATATAAGCCCTACCCTGATAATAAGACCTAGTGATGGGCGTGGCTATGCATAGATGGCGTGGCTATGCATAGATAATATAAGCCCTACCCTGATAATAAGACCTAGTGATGGGTGTGGCTATGCTACGCCATGCATTTTGGCCCCCAGAGGAAGACATCTCCTGAAAATAAGCCCTAATGTGTCTTCTTGAGAAAAAATAAGTACAAGACAGTGTCTTATTTTCAGGGAAACATGGTATGTTGTCCATTCTTCAAAGCCTTCCAAGTAGTGAAAGGAAGAAGCAACTCTTCCCTCTGGTCATCAACCACACGGCCTTGGAGGGCGTGGGAGGAGAACCCCGTGCACACAGTGGACCCCAGGTGCACTTGTTTATTTAACCAACTACAAGAAGTCTTCAGGTTACCAGGCCCCAGCCAGGACAACTTACAATGATGTCCTGTTGGGTTTTGAAAGTGCTGATGTAGTGGCTGTAGTGACTGTCCTCCATCTGCCGTAGGATGGCAATCATGCAAGCCACAAAGCTGCCCTGGAGGGAAAAAGGAAACACAAAGCTAAGACTCTTCAGACCACCGGCCAAAGAAAGAAGAACCATGGACTCTGGTTTTTCCCCACACAACGAGCTGCAGACCAGGGACCCCAGGAAAGCGGAAACATGTGTAAAACGTCCCACGGGCCGTGCTTTGCTGTCTCCTCATCACACTACCTCCTTCCACTCTGGAGGGCTGTACGCAGCCCACTGATAGGTGTGACTTGGGGAATCCTGTAGGTCAGGGGACGCTAACTGGAAGCTGAGGTCAGGGGACGCTAACCGGAAGATCTCAGCTCCACCAGCAGCTGAGACACAGACTTCTCGGTGTGACCACGTGTGTGTCTCTCTCTGTCTGTCTTTCCCTCGCTTTCCCCCTTCTTAAGTTTATCCTTCTCCAGCATGTTCACTGTGCTGCTCTGGGTTTCTCTGTCGCTCCATGGATCGGGCTTACTCACGCTCCTGTCATCTCAGCCACGCGACCCATTAAAGGGACACTCACGATGTGGGGAGACTGTCGGTTCATCCCGATCACCGTCCGGTTGAGCCTTCTCAGCAGCCGTTCCATTATCAGCTGGATGTGCATCTCCGTGGGGCCCTGCGGGCAAAACACAGGATTGGACGCCCTTTCTCCTGACTCAGTTTCACTTTCTATTCTTTTTTTATTAAGACAGAGTCTCACTGCCTTGCCCCGGGTAGAGTGCCATGGCCTCATCATAACTCATGGGAACCTCAAATTCTTGGGCTCAAGAGAACCTCTTGCCTCAGCCTCCTAAGCAGCTAGGACTATAGGTGCCCACTACAATACCCAGCTATTTTTATTTTTAATTTTTGCCCAGCTATTTTTAGAGACAGGGTCTTGCTCTTGCTCAGGCTGGTCTTGAACTCCTGAGCCCAAGCAATCTACTTGCCTCGGAGTCCCAGAGTGCTAGGATTACAGGTGTGAGCCACTGTGCCTGGCCTCAACTTAACTTTTCAAAGTTTTCATCTCTCCTTGCTTCATGATAAATACTTTGAAAGTCCTATTTAAAACTGCAAATAACCAAGTGATTGCTGTATGTCTTTTTTGGCTTGATAACATTTTATTTACTTATTATTTTTAAAAATATTTAACTGACAGCTTGGCATCTGTGGCTCAAGCAGCTAAGGCGCCAGCCACATACACCTGGGCTGACGGGTTCGGATCCAGCCTGGGCCTGCGGAACAACAATGATGGCTGCAACCAAAAAATAGCTGGGCGTTGTGGCAGGTGCCTGTAGTCCCAGCTACTTGGGAGGCGGAGGCAGGAGAGTCGCTGGAGCCCAGGAGCTGGAGGTTGCTGTGAGCTGTGATGCCACAGCACTCTACTGAGGGCAACAGCTTGAGGCTCTGTCTCCAAAATAAATAAATAAATAAACGTTAACTGATGAACCTCGTATCTGTTCAGTGCATGCAGCATGATTTGATACAGACTGTGTGTTGAATATTACAACCAAACTAATTAACCTATCACCATCCAGGTTCACTTGAGAGCCCCAGAACTTGTCCATCTTATAACCAGAACTTTACACTGTTTGACAAACATCTCCCCATTCTCCCTCCGCCTCGACCCCTTCCCCCAACTTCTGTTTCAGCGCCTGCTTCCCACATATAAGTAAGATCATGCAGCACCTGTGTATTGCTATATGTAACTCTGCTGAAGTATCAGCGTTCTTAGACACGAATTCACCTTCATTTCCTCCCTCTCTGGCTTTTTTCTACTCATTAACTTTACTGAAAAATCACATCAAAGGAGTTTGGCTATAAAACCACCTACATGCTATGAACACCTTGTCTTCCTTGAAAAAGTCTGCAGAGGACTTAAAGTAAAAATCAAGGCGCCACCGTTTTGTGTCACTTCTGCTAACATCACCTCTCCTCTTCTTAACCAACCCCAGACGCAAAGGAAGCTACTAGCCAGATTTTAAAGTATTAACTGCACCGTCGGCAGAGCCATGAAGGCAGGTAAACCTCCAGACCTGGCCACGTTCTTTCGAGATCTTTGAGTGGGGAGAAGGAAAAGAGCCTGCATAGACTATTTTTCTTTTCTTGGACTGACAGATTGTGCCTCGGGTCTATTTGTTCAAATAGCCAAGGAGGATGCCGGGCCCATGCGGAAGGCGGCCCAGGGCTCACACTGACCCCTCCGTACTCACATGGGTGGACAGTCTTCTACTCAGGAGCACGTGGCCCTGTTACCATCCATTTATCTGACATTTCCTTACTCAGAGCTAACTAGATGTGCATGTCACGTGCTGGGCCCTGTGCAGAGGGATGAAAAGGAATACGGCTCCTCTGAGCCCTTAAGAGATTTCTACTCTGGGGGAAGGTGAGGGTGGGTGTTAGGGAGAGTCAGGGCATGAACATAAAGAAAGCTGAACAGCATCAGGATCCCAGCAGAGGGCAGGTGCGATGGGGCACAGTGCCTGCTTCTCTCATTCACTGCCGTGGTCCCCGCCTATCCCACTGGCAGGTGCGTGCAGGAAGCTTGCTAAGTGTTTGTGAGCTGAATTCGTAATTCAAGGTACAAAATGATAAACGCCTGAAAAAAGACTTAAGGGGAAGATGAAGGCTGCATGTACAGGGCTGTAGGAGGCTCACCCGCAAGGAGGGGCTTAACTCCAGCTGGACTTGAGAGGTGAGGACAATTCTAAGACAGAGCTGTGGATGAGGAGGGAACCCCACACCCTGAGAAGAGGAGAAAGAACAAATGCCAGTCATCGGAGATGAGAGGATAAAGTGATACTGTCCTAGTGCGTGCATTTAAAAATGCTCATGGAGGGAAATTGTACCAAAAATTATTAGATTTACTAGTTTAACAGAGCTCCAAAGTCAGTAGTTTTGAATGGGTCTGCTGAATACAGGGAGTGATATATTGGAAAGAGAAAAAACAAGCCAATTAAATCTCCTTGCACAGGATTTAAATATGTTCAAGTCATTTTTGAAGAGTCTTTCTGTGCAGAGACCAGGCAGGCAGAGATATTACGTATTAGAAAACAGGATCAGGCTGGGCACAGGGGCTCACACCTGTGATCCTAGCACTCTGAGAGGCTGAGGCAGGTGGACTGCTAGAGCTCAGGAGTTCAAGACCACCTTGAGCAAGAGCAAGACCCCATCTCTACTAAAAATAGAAAAACCAGCTGGGCGTGTGGCAGATGCCTGTAGTCCCAGCTACTGGGGAGGGTGAGGCAAGAGGATTGCTTAAGCTCAAGAGTTTGAGGTGGAAAAAAAAAAAAAAAAAGGCTCGGCGCCGGTGGCTCAAGCGGCTAAGGCGCCAGCCACGTACACCTAAGGTGGCGGGTTCGAATCCCCAGCCCGGGCCCGCCAAACAACAATGACGGCTGCAACCAAAAAATGGCCAGGCGTTGTGGCGGGCGCCTGTGGTCCCAGCTACTTGGGAGGCAGAGGCAGGAGACTCGCTTGAGCCCAGGAGTTGGAGGTTGCTGTGAGCGTGATGCCATGGCACTCTACCCAGGGGGACAGCTTGAGGCTCCGTCTCAAAAAAAAAAAAAAAAAAAAGAGTTTGAGGTGGCTGTGAGCTATGATGCCAAAGCACTCTACCCAGGGTGATAGAGTGACAATGTGTCTCCAAATAAATAAATAAAAATAAAAAATAGGGCCAGAATTGGAAGAGACCCAAGAGGTCATCTAGAATAATTCCTACATATTATGGGATCAGAAACGGAGACACTGAGAGATTGGCCTAAGGACACACAGCTACAGAGTGGGGACTAGAGTCCAAGTGCCCCACCTCCCACATCTCAGATTGACCTTGGAGCATAAACATACGCTTTCTCATACACCAGATCCCTGGCCAAACCCAAGCATCCAGCACGCTGCTGCCACACGTATAGGGCTTAGAACTTAATTTTATTTTCAATAATCACTGAGTCACAGGAATTAACTTAAAAAAAAAAATTACTGCATTCCTGACACAACAGGTTACATTTACGTATGACTGTAAACTCTTTGGTTAGAAACCAAATCCTCCATCACAAGATTTCTTGGGAAAATGTATTGCATTTTATGAAGTGGTTTCTATAAACATAATCAAAAAAGTGGAGAATGACCTATAATGAGGTCAAATGACTATCAAATAAACAGTACCCTGGGGGGCAGGGGCGTGGGCTGTGAGTTGACAGGGTGAGCTAGATAAGCTGGGTACTCTGAGACCGGGGTGTGGAACGGCAGAAATGCAGATGTGTTGAGAAAATTACGAGCAAGAAAAAAGGTTGGCTGTGGTCAGACAGTGGTGGACCCTTGACGGGTGAGCTGAGGGTTTAGCTACAGGGACAGGCACAGAATATCTCTGAGCAGAACAGAATCTGAAGATACTGCTAAGAGAAAGGAAACAGGCAAACCCAGGGTGGTTTTCCTCTTCTGTGGGAACACCTGTGCCATGCGGCCAGCATGCCGGTGGGGACTGTGGTTTGGGGCAATACACCTTTCTTTTGCTCAATCCTCAGCTGCTCAACCAAACACACTCTGCAGACTTCTGCAGCCCCCTGTGCGGAGCTCTGCTGAGGGCTGAGGATGTGGCAAATCAGTCAAGTTCAACTCCACTCTTGGGAGGCAGATCCCAAAGAAGACCCAAGATAAGAAACATAACGTCCCCTGAGCTCCAGGGACAGCATGAACGTCAGAGAGCATATGAACTTGAAGCTTCTCGCAGAAGCTCAGGAATCTCTATCATAGTGTTGTCAGGAACCAGAGGATAAGAGAATAGAGGTTTCTGCGCAAAATAAGAAAGTCTCGATGGGGGTTTCTGGTGGGGTGCACCAAGCAAGCCTGGAAGCTCAGCTAGCGGAGGGCCCGGCTGACTTCACCTGGACCTGTATTTGCACAGGACACTCTGGCCTCTCAGATTATCCCCCAAAATGGGCAATGACCGCCCGATACCTGGGTTCAAAATGAGAGCAGGCAGGACATGGAGTCTCTCCTGCCTGGTGCAGAGAGGCCGGTGTGTGCTCTGTGCACATCAGCGATGCCACGACTCACCACATCCTTCCTGTCCAGCACCTCCAGGATGCCGCTGAGCAGCTGCGAGCTCGCCTCGTGGTCAGGCCTGCTGGAGTTGTCGTCCAGCTGGCCGCTGAGCTGGTCTGTTAGCAGCGGCAGCAGCACATCTCTGCACTCTGAGGAAGAAAAGGCAGACAGCTCAGACCCCAGTGCAGCCTCCTTAACTGCCTGTCTCTTCTCTGTGACTCTCTCCGCCCGGCCCAGCAGCTCCAGGCTCTAGAGTCAGCCCGACAGGGGGAAGCCACCCAGCAGCGCCTGGTTTTTGGAATGCAATTTCGGCTTAGTAACTGGATTACAATACGAACTAAGAAAAGAAGCCCCCGCCTTGATGAGTTAGTGTGAGGATTCGGCAAAGTATTTAATAATTTCTCTAGCTTTTTAAAATGCCTATGTAGGTGAAAGTGAAATCACCAGGAAAAGGAAGCAAGTTAAAACACTTTTGCAAAAGGGTTTGCGCCTGATGGAGAAAATTGACTATGACATTCTTATCAATTCCAAACTTCCCTAGTACATTTTGACACAACTGATGGACATCCCACTCACGTCCCCGCAGGTGTGTGGATCACAGAAAGTAAAGAATGATCTACTGTGTCTTCCTGCTGGGATCTTCACCGTCATAGCACATTTTTACGATGAGTCCAGGTCCTTACATGACTATTAGCAGTGGTCATGCTTTCTCTGGAACTACTCAGTATGTGCTTGCTCTTGTGTTTTCAAAACGCCTCATTTTTATTGCCTTAATTATCTTTTTTGCACCCGCAGGGCCAGAGATTATCAAAGCATATTAAGATGTTTAGTAATAATTTGTTTTCTACTTAAGAACATTCACTAGCTTTCTGAAGACACTGACGCCTCTGTATCCCGGACACATTTAAAATTTTTTTTCACTTTTAAACATATTTATTGCTATTTAATTCACATACCATATGATGAACATTTAAAATTTCTAAGCACAACTTCACAGGGTCAAAAAATACAGAACCACAAGAGGCAACCGATATGATCTAGTTCAATTCCGCCTTCCATGGAAATAGAAGCTGAGACTTCGAGAAGGTCACTCATTTGTTTAAAGTTACATAACTAGCCAGGGGCAAGGCCAGGAGGGCTCTGCCACCATAATCACTCAGCTTGTCTGATTTCTGAGGCAGCCTGACCCTTTGCAGACCCCCATGTGTATACACCACATGCGGTCACCCCCTGCAACTCTTCCCTGGCAGGAACTCCAAAGGAAGCTCCCTCCAGCCATCCAGTTTTGGGTTTATGGGGAAGGCCCAGGTATTAGACATCCTGCTCATATCAGCTTTGGGATAGGAGCACAATGATTCAGGGTGGCTATTTACAAAATGAAAAGTATTTCACTACCATAAGAGATTTTTCTTCTTCCCAGACCCCTCTCTTCACAGGGGTTTGCTGGTAATCTGGCTCCCAACTATCCCGTAAAGAAAAGCTCTTAATTTACAGTGTTTGCCAGTATCCCTTGTGTAAATACTTCCAGGACAGTCAATTTCTAGCTACTAATGTGCTGTCACGGACAGTGGATTGAGAAGGGCCGCATGTACCACCAGCTCTCCTAAGCCCATACGAGTAGGATCCAGCACACTGTGGACTCCCCCCACCTGGTTTGGAGCTTATGCAACTGGTTGAAGAAGATAAATTTGTTTAAAAAAGGACCATCTTTCCCATTTGCCTGTTACTTTCTGGGATCCTTCTTTTTTTTCTTTTTTGGCAGTTTTTGGCCAGGGCTGGGTCCGAACCCGCCACCTCCAGCATATGGAGCCGGCATCCTACTACTTTGAGCCACAGGCACCGCCCCTGGGGTCCTTCTTTCCTGAAGACAAAATTAACAAGCCACTTGCTGGCCGTTCTAATGAGGGACTATTGGAAATACCATGCTGACTTCAGCTTCTGCTTAAAACCGGGTCTTCCAGGAGGACCTTAAGTGCTAAACGACTTGGCGACTTGGTGAGTACGTTATTAACATTTAGAAGAAAAAAATCAAATGCTGGCAGCAGAAGAAACAGGCCAACCGCTCAGGAAGCAGCAGTTTTTGGCGGAGACTCACCCGACTGCTGAAAAAGACTGCTCTCCACGATCTTGGCCATGCAGTTCAGCTTCTGCCGCACTAGCTGGTTGTCAGGGATGCTCTGGATGAACTTGCAGAAGAGCACGCTGGAAGACAAGGCCCCGTCAGTGTTTTCATCCTGATTCACTTCTCTCCTGCACTCTGACATTAGGGAATGTTGAAGTTTTATCTCGAATACTCCCAAAGGACCACAGAGTCTGCCCCCAGGCAGCACCAGGGAGACTGTATTCCTTGCTCATAGAGGACTCTGGGGCTGACGGTTACAGCTGCCAAAGCTCATCCCATATCCATTAGCACTTTCTAGACCAGCCTTTGTGCAAACTGCCTTTCCCAGCTGACTGTGACTCTGCTGTCCACCCCGGTCTGATTCTGCATTCCTGCTACGCCCGGAAGCATATTATTACACACCGTCTTTAGGAGTTAATTTTATGTTTGCACGTCTTATTTCCCCAGACCAAACCTCTCTCAGGGTAGATTCTGTGGGTTCTTTTATATATTCCACAAAACTGAGCATCAAGAAGCGCTCAGTTAATACTCGCTGAACAATCAAAGCATCTGCAGCGGCCCCGGTTCCAGCCCAGGGGGGCATCTGCTTCTCTCCTAAATTCAACAACCTTTTTTTTTTTTTTTTGCCATTTACCTGAGCTCAACAGGATCAAACACAAGTTTGACGTCATTAATTATGCTAGGAAGATACTTCAAAGCTGCCCCCTGTAAGAAAAACACCAAAGGCAGATTCAGTTGCCAAGCAGGACAAAAACAGAATTACTGTTTGATCAGAAAAGGCTGTACTTAGAGCTGAAACAGCGAACTGGACACAGATACCCCCTCGATAAAAAGGAAAGCTGATGTTGCCACACGCAGCCTCCTGAAGTCTTTCTCCTACAAATGCAGGAGGTAGGACTTTGGGTCTTTTCTTCTAGGAGGCCCTGTCCATTTGGAATTCGTTTTTCTATCTAAGGACTTAAATTCTGGAAGTTTCCCTCCCAAACTTGACATAAAGAACAAGGAATAAATAGTAAAGTTCAATTTTCCTTTTAGACACAGAGTCTTACTTTATCGCCCTTGGTAGAGTTCTGCAGCTCAGAGCTCACAGCAACCTCCAACTCCTGGGCTTAGGTGATTCTCTACCCTCAGCCTCCCGAGTAGCTGGGACTACAGGCACCCACCACAACGCCCGGCTATTTTTTTGTTGCACTATGGCTGGGGCCGGGTTTGAATCCGCCACCCTCGGTATATGGGGCCGGCGTCCTACTCACTGAGCTACAGGCACTGCCCTAAAGTTCAAATTTGGCATCTTGAATGTTTAGGTCTCATATTTTTTAAAAAATTTGATGATAACGAAGAGGATGGTGACTTTACACTTCTGGGAAGAACAGGAGGACTGAGAATCAAACGTCACCACCTGTCACACCACTGGGGTCAGTTTGCGGAAATCGGGGTCATGACAGCCATTCCAGGGAGGTCTAAAAGGGCACCCTGTCTTTGGCAAACTGACCTTTGAAAACAGAAATCTCCATAGGGAAGTGACTTTTTCCTTTACTTTCCACAAGTCATACAGAAATTCATAAGCTATCCTTCCATAATCAATTTGTTTCCCTCCTACGACGACCTATTCTAAGTTGTCCCAAAACGTCCTCACTGACAGTCCTCAGAGTTTCCCAACTAAGACTCTTGAGCTGACCTTGATCTTGATGGCTTCCTCCAGAGGCCTGTCCATGAGCATATTGAAAGCCAGAAACAACTGGCGGATGGAATTGTTAAACTCATCTCCATCTTCACTTTGGCCATAAAATCTTAAAGGGAAAAAGAGAAAAGACGTTGGACATCTTTAAAAGACATTGTATGACAGATGTGTCGGGAAGGACGTGTTCCTGGCTTATAGCTGGAGCTGTGTTTCCCATTTAAAAAAGAAAATTGTCAGATCAAAAAAACAATGCTGGGGGCTCAGTGTCTTGCTGGTCACCGTTTCAAATTGTGCAGTGAGATGTCTTGGGGTGCTCTAAGGAGGTTCCAGGAGGACCAGACCCCTAGTACCTGCTCAGACTTCCCAGATCACTGCACGTGGCTAATTTTTCTTATTATTTTTTTATAGACATGGGGTCTTGCTACATTGCCCAGTCTGGTCTTAATGTTCTGGCCTCAAGCAATCCTCCCACCATGGTCTCCTAAAGTGCTGGAATTACAGACATGAGTCACTGTATCCAGCCTCATTAAACATTTTTTAGAACAATTTTTAAAAGTATGTACTTACTGTAGCAATTTAAAAAATAGAAAAAGCTGAATAATAAAAATAGTATAAATTTTAAAAATGTTAATAATATAATTTAAAATGCAAAAAAAAAATAAAAGCAACAAATAAAAAGTGACACTCTGTCACCTGGAGTTTTAATCCTATAAATATTATAGCATGAGGTCCACCTAGTTTTCCCATTTTATACAAATCTCAAACCTATATTGTTTTTGAAATGTACTGTACTTACGTTTAATAATTTTGTTTTATAATTTAAAAATCTATCACGGTCATCTTTCCTCATTAATGTACTCCACATTTGAAAGGACTGACTATATACACTGTCACAGTCATTTCATATCTGATATATTTTTGCCCCATTAGATAAACTCCTAGATGGGGTGTTACTGGACAAATTAACACTTTTTTTTTCTTTTTATAAAATTTATGCTTTTCATTCATAGTGCCACATTTATAATCCTGCGTAATTTATATTCCCACTAGCATTAAAATTTAATACATAACCAATTTTTGTCCCATATTAACAGACAAAGACATTTAATCTTTGCCAGACATATAAGACAGTGTGTGTGTCCTGCATTCTTTCGATAGTATATATATTTCTTAAAAATTTCATCACGTAAAATTTTTCTTTTATAACGTAGCTGTTTTGTTTTCTATAGTTTAGGGAAATTTAACCCAACTACAGCCCAAGATGAAAGAGAAAGAGGAAGGGGTAGGGGGAGGATAAATGGAGGGAGGGTAATTGGTGGGATCACACCTTTGGTGCATCTTACAAGGGTACATGTTAAATCTACTAAGTGTAGAATATAAATGTCTTAACACAATAACTAAGAAAATGCGGTGAAGGCTATGTTAACCAGCTTGATAAAAGTATTTTAAATGGTATATAAAACCAGCACACTGTACCCAATAATTGCATTAAGTTACACAGCTATGATTTAATAAAAAAAATTTCATCACTTAAAAGTTCACCTTTATAACGTAGCTGTTTGTTTTCTATAGTTTAGGGAAATTTATCTTTTTTGTTTTTTTGCAGATTTTGGCTGGGCCGGGTTTGAACCTGCCACCTCCGGTATATGGGGCCGGCGCCCTACTCATTGAGCTCCAGGCGCCGCCCGAATTTATCATTCTTTTATTGATTTATAAGAGCTTTCACTCAGTAAGGCGATTAACCTTTCATCTATACTACATATTATAAGCTTTCCCCCCCAGGTTAACTGCATGTCTTTAATTTTATGTTTTCTTTTAGAAAAACACATGCTCAAATCTATAATCTTTTCCTTTCTGCCTTGGGAAGAAATTTTAACCATTTGGAAATCCAGCTACCTCTGAAAAACAGGAAAGGCAGTGGGGTTGTGGGCGTTCCCTGCAATGATACTTCTTCCACGCTCTGTTCTAATTTTGGTAAAACTGTTATGTCAAGAATCCAAACAACAAATTATCCTATCTCCACAGCTGTAGTTTGACCACGTAGCTACATGTGATGGCAGCACAGAACGCATATTTTGGGAAACATCTCCCCCAAACAACTGACCTCTCTGCTGCCGGCAAGAGATCATGGTCCTAGATTTTTATTTCCAACATTGTCATGAAGCCACTAACATGTAAGATACAATCATGCCACAAGAAACTGATTCCCTAGAGCTGCTGTCACCAACACAGACTCCTTTTTTTTAATTGAGCAATAATCATATTAATAATGCAAAAAAAGTAACATTCCCATTGTCAAATAAGAGCATGTCTATTACAGAATGCTTTGACTCTGAGGTTCAGTATGGAGTCATCAGTTAACTCCTTATTTTTTTCCAAAGTCTCAAAAAATAGACAACTAATATTTATAAATTAAAAAATATATATTTCAAAAAATAGATCATGCCAAATCTTATAGACAATAGAAAAAGAAGAAATACTTCAAAATCATTCTATTTCATCTCAATACACCTGATATTAAAATTGGAAAAAATATAGTATTATAAAGGGGAAATTACCAACATATTTCACTTATAAATGAGGATGCAATATCCTAAACAACATATTAACAACTTGAATTAAAAATTAATGTTTAAGTAATGTACTCTGGTCAAAATTAAATCCAGTTTATGTGAGATTAGCCACTATTTTCTTTTTCTTTTCCATCACCCCCTCCCTCCTTCTCTGTCTGCTCTCCCCTTCCACCATGCCCTACTGTGTCACTGATTGTCCTCATATTGAAGTTGAATACATAGGATTCATACTTCTCCAGGTGGCTAAAGGAGACTTCTAGCACGTGGCTCCTTTAGCCACCTGCATCCCTGAATCCTGCGGTCATTACTGCCCCAGGATTCTGCTGACCCGCTTGCCTTGACATGGACCTTCTCCAACAGACTCAGAGGCCACCTCCATCTTCAGCCCAGCAGTTCTAGAATTTGACAATTCTAAAAACCCAGCTGCTCACAGCGCTGAGCGTCAGTGTGAGGAATAAGGGAGATGAGAAGGAGACACAGACAGCTGCACGCCCCACCGTCCTCACGCTACCTCAGGTAGAGCACTCGAGACTGGATGATGAATCTGAACAAGTACTTCAAGGCTTTCAGAGCGGCAAAAAGCAATTCCGTCTTGCTGGAGTCATCTGCGTTAGCCACGTAAAAGTTCAGTACCTTGGAGAGTTTCCTTCAAAGGGTAAGAAAGAAACATCAATAAGGCTAATGTGATGCCCTGAGGCTGGGATGAACTGTGTAAGAAGGGAACTTGGCATATTAAAGCAAAAGTGACAACTCTAACTTATCTTCTAGAATATGCCCTGACCAGGGAAATTAACTTTTATACAATGTAGTATGCCTATCTGCAGTCTAGGGTATCTGTTTCTGCTTAGAAGAATAGTTTTAAGCCCTTTGTAGGATGAAACAGAAGGGCTAAGAAATGAAAGAGATTGCCTGGGTTCACAGGTTCAAGACCAGCCTGAGCAAGAGCAAGACCTCGTCTCTAAAAATAGCCGGGCGTTGTGGCGGGCACCTGTAGTCCCAGCTACTAGGGAGGCGGAGGCAAGAGGATTGCTTGAGCCCAAGAGCTGGAGGTTGCTGTGAGCTATGATGCCATGGCACTCTACCAAGGGTGATAAAGTGAGACTGTCTCAAAAAAAAAAAAAAAAAGAAAAAGAAATGAAAGAGGCAGAGTGATCCAAGTCAGGGGCTATTTTAATTTCTGGCATGTAACACAGACATCTTCAGACGCTCCTTGAAGGGAGGGATTATGTTTGCTTCAAGTGGTTACCTTAAAAGAAGTCTAATGCTTTCCATTCCACCCAGCCTCTTTGGGATCCAAAAATACGGAGCCGTAGAGCGCTACTCAGCCATAAAAAGATGAATTAGACGTTTGTAACAATCTGATTAGAACCGGAGACCTTTCTCCCAAGTGAAGTATCTCAAGAATGGAGATGCAAACACCACAAGAACTCACTACTAAATTGGAGGTAACCAACGGCCACACATGTGCACAGAAGGAAGAAAAACTCGGTGGAAATTGATGGGGGGAGGAGCAAAACCCTACCTAACGGGGACAGTGAACTTACTTGGGCAACGGTCTCACCTACAGCTGGGACTCAAGCATTACAAAAGCAATCTATGTCACCTAAAACATTTGTGTCCCCTTAATATTTTGAATTTTAATTAGAAACCAACTCAGGCATGTAAATTGAAGGGAAGATAATAGTAAAAAAAAAAATAGGTAAAACTAAATTAAAAAATATACACACATGGTGTGAGATGGTAACTCCTGTGAGTACAATGAGAGCTCAATGGGACCCTCTAGAACAGCGGTCTCAACCTTCCTGATGCCACAACCCTTTAATACAGTTCCTGTGGGTCGCAACCCACAGGTTGAGAACCGCTGCTCTCAAACATTCCTGGTTCTAAGCGTCTCAACAGATACAACCATCGTGGGAGTTTAGGTTGCTCTTTGTGTCCTTCCAGAGTTTGGGGGCTAGGAATGGTCTTGATCTTGTACTAATTCAGACTTCTGAGGGCACTCCTATTTTAAAAGTTCCTTCTGGGAATCTCTGAGCTCTTCTAGAGTTATAAAAAACAAAAAATCCAAAGGAAACCTACAGAATTAAGTCTTGTGAATAAACCCAGATTACGACCACTGGGAGTGTTGAGTGTGGCCCGGTGTAAGTGAGATCCATAGGGATAGGATGTCCCCACATGAGGCCACTGTTCTCATGGACTGTGAGGCTCCGGGGTGGAAATCACCCCACTGCTGGAGTGTCTGCAGAGAGATCAGGTCAGCAGCTGCCCTGACAGGTCAGTGACAACGTCAACTCGATGTGGTGTAAGCCATTGTCAAAATAAAAAGTCTGTTTACCAACACCGGCTAGAACCCTTTCTCTGTTTATCACATCGCTGTGCACGATAATTGAGGGGTGACAGGCACACCCGATGCCATGATGGGCTGAACCCTCCAGGGCAAAGTGCGGAGTGGACGTCAGTTGCTTTCCTTGTCAGCGGCATGTAAACCAAAGACGGAAGGAAGGCTACACTACAGAAAGGGAGAGGCCACTCCCTCTTCTTCAAATGACAAGAAGTTCAAATCTTCACATACCCGTAAGAAATACACCTTAGAAGCACCTGTGGTACGAGGATGTGACCTGTTCTCCCATTAGACTTGGTCTTCCTTTCATTCGCTATTTGGTCCCCTTGGGAGCTCATGCCAATCCCACCAGTGTCCAATTCCTGAGATCCTGAGTTTGGTCATCTGTCCTTGGTCCTGCTCCTAACTGGCTTTGACTCCTCACCTGGATGTTCTGCAGTCCTAAGGAGACGTAGCCTTATCCAGAACAAAGGCCAGGACCAACCCCTGTTCCAGGGTTAGAACACCTGGATGGTTCCCTCTTTCCACCAGGAAGCTTAGACTGAAGCACGACAGCCACATTTACAGAATGCAGGTGGCTCCTGCTTCATCAACAACCCCCAGAGCACAAATCCAGTAATTCAACATGCAGGTCCCTCGAATCATACTTACACGTACGCCAGAGTGGCGCTGAAGTGCTTGTAAATGTAGGTCTCGAGTACAGGATTAAAATGCTGGAACTTGATGTCCCCTATCAGGGAAATGATAAAAACCTGCCAATAGTGGAAAACGTCAGTAGTGACACTGCACAGCCCCCGGCCTCCCGTCACCAGGCTGGAGTTTAGCACCCTGGTGCCCCCTTTCCTTCCTCGCTCATGTGGCCTTCCCTCTCTACTGCTCCAAAGTCAAGTCTCGGGGTTCATATTTATTCCGCACAAATAGACTATTATATGTTAAATGCCATGAAGACACTGATCCAAGCCAGCACCCCTGGCCTCGGGGAGCCACTGTCTCAAACAGAGAGCGGTTGGCACACAAGTAACCCACAGAGCTGGTGACACAGGGCAGGACATTTTTCCCCGGGGTACAGTCTGAGCACCCTCAGTAATTGAGTCAAGTCTCCCAATCCGCCCCTGATATGTCACCTCGCACCACTTCAGGTGCATAGGTTACAAAGGACAGGAGAGTACTTGGGGGTTCCGTACGTGCCCACTGCCAGCTGCTCCATCCCACAGGAACGTGTCTCCAGACCTTGACTATAACTATAGTCTCTCTTTCCCATAAACCTGAGCCTGCCTGGGTTACATCCTCCGTATGTGACCCTTCCTCTTTTTATTTTACATCCTTAGCTTTAACCCCCTCACCACTCCCTACACTGATCAACCTCTCCAAGCTGGTGAATCACCTCTCTCCTCAGCTGCCAACATGGGGGTCAAAGTCTGCCCTGAATTTACACCCTCACAACATGCAAATGAGGCTCAGCTTGGACCCTTGGCCTTCCTCCCCTCCACTGCCCACCTTGGGCTGCTTAGATCATGATACCACTTCCCCCATCCTGATTTCATTCTTGGAATGCGTTATACATTTAATCACTTTGTGTGACAAAGTCAACTGTCTGCTGGTGGATAAAGTAACTTGTGAGGCCCGGACTCATCTCTGACACCTGAATTCTCTCTCACACGAACAAACAGACACACAACATGAGTGGTTTTCTCGGTTCCTGTTATCTTCTGCCTTATGACTAAATAACAGAAAAGTGAAAAAAGGGGGTCCCGATTTTTAATGGGATAAAACACCTTCTTTTCCCTAATGAGAAAGAGAAAGCTTACAGAAAAGTGGGCTCTAACAAGATACAAAGAGATAAAGGCCCGGAATAGAAGTCGTTTGCTATTACTGCTACTCCCAGGAATTTAGCCGGAAGAGAAACATCCAGAGAGACGCAAACAAATATTTATGCAACAAGATGTTTATCACAATTACTCATTCTAGGGAAACACGGAAAACTATCCAGTTGTAAGATTAAACACTAGTCAATAGGCTTAACTGCTCACCAACGCATCAAACACGAGGAAGTCGTAGGCCTCACTGTCTGACATTTCCATCATGATGTTAAAAAGGGCATCCAGCGTGTCTTGCAAAAACTGAAGGTAAGAAAAACAGAGAGGTTATGTTTGGTGCTTTCATACAGCTCCATTCTGCGGAACTTTAGGGACAACTAGGTTTCAAGAGAGTAGGTCTTTTTTTAAAAATAGAATTTTCTTAAAAACTGGCACACTTGCATAGCAAGGTAGATACCTTTTGTATTTATGATGATTGGGTTCATTTAAAATGGTAAATGAGTTATTGTGTTAAGACACAATTTATATTCTACACCTAGTAAATTTCACATGTACCCTTGTAAGATGCACCTTAGGTGTGGTCCCACCATAGTTAACACAATAACTAAGAAAATGCCGTGAAGGCTGTGTTGACCAGTTTGATGAGAGAATTTCAAATTGTATGTAAAACCAGCACATTGTACCCCATGATTGCATTAATGTACACAGCTATGATTTAATAAAAAAATAAAATAAAATAATTAA